GCGTCCATGAACGACAAAGTCTTGTAGCCGGCCGAATTGTCGACCAGCATGTCAATATTAGGTAGAGGAAAGGCATCCTTCGGGCAAGCCCGGTTGAGGTCGGTATAGTCAACACACATTCTCCATTTTCCATTATTCTTTTTAACAAGTACAACATTTGACAGCCAGGTGGAGTACCGGGCTTCAGAAATAAAATTTGCCTCTAGGAGGTCTTTTACAGCTTTTTCAGCAGCCTCCGTTTTTTCTGGAGACTGCCTACGCCTACGTTGTACTACGGCCTTGGCGGCTGGATCAATGGCGAGGTGATGACAGGCGACCTCAGGGTCGAGTCCGGGTATCTCTGCAGCGCTCCAGGCGAAGAGATCAGCATTCTCGCGCAGACAGGCCTTGATTTGCTTCCTGGCCAAGTCGGGGAGGTCCTTGCCAATCTTCACTCCCTTGGTCGGGTCTGCTCCGAGGGGAACGAGTTCAAAATCGCCGTCCGGAATGGGTCGGAGGGGGATTTGCTCGCCGCTGGGTGGCTCGTCTTGGTCGAAGCGGGCGTCGAGGGCTATGGAGTCGACCTTTGGTGGAGCCTTCTGAACTTCTACCTCGGGGGATGCTCTGTCGGGCTCTTGCTTTGTCTTCTTGATGGGTCTGGTGCTGGTACCCACGTCGACGGTATCCCGTCCCCTTGAAGCGGCGTTGAAGCACCTGCGGGCAGCAGCGAGGTCGCCCTGGATGGTGGCTACCCTTGCCCTTTTGGTATAGAACTTCATTTTTAGATGGACAGTTGAGGGAACCGCTGTCAGCTCCGCCAATGTCGGCCTCCCCAAAATGCAATTGTATAGGGATGGGCAGTCAATGACGAGGAAGCGGACATTCACCTGTCTTGTAGCAGTTCCTTCCCCGAACGTCACGAGGAGCTCGACATATCCCCAAGGTTTGGAAGTCGAGCCGTTGAAGCCTTGAAGGTCTGAACCTATATACGGAGACAGATGTGAGTCGTCCAGTTGTAAGGTCCGGAACAGCTGGGTGTACATCACGTCGACTGAACTCCCTTCGTCGACCAGGATGCGATGCACGTCAAAATTGGCCATCTTTGCCCTTATCAGCAAGGGGATGACTGCGTTCGGTGCTCCGCCGGGGAGCTCTTCCAAGTAGAAGGTGATGGGCTCTGATATGCCCTTCACCATTTCGAAAGTTACAGTTTGTGGAGGAGCTGCGTCGACCAGTTCGTCCAACTTCCTCTTGGCTGAGTTGATGGTGAGGTCGTTGAACCCGCCCCCGTTGATGACCATGGCGGAGGGGAAGTATTCCCACCTGCTGTGTGTCGTCAGGGGCTCCTGCAGGAGCTCGGGAAGTTCGAAATCCTCGGGCCTGGTTACCGAGAAGGCGGTCTGGATTGGCACCGACTCGTCAGATGGTCGGGCATCTTCTTCGGGCTCCTTTGCCTCACGGGCGTCACGACGGGGAGCGTCGTTTCTCCTGTACTGTGCAAGCCTCCCTCCTTTGATGAGGGTTTCGATGGCGTCCTTCAGGTGGACGCAGTCCTCTGTCAAGTGACCATGACTCCTATGGTACTGACAGTACTTGTTTTTGTCTACTCCTGGCTTGGCAGGAGCTGGCCGGGGACGCTTGACGCCACCGTCTTTAAAATCTGTGCTAGCACACTCCGCCAGAATACGCTCGCGGGAAGCCGTGAGTGGAGTGTACTCGGTGAAACGGCCCGAGGGGCCCCTTTGTTCGCGGACCTCCCGGGGTCGATCTTCCTTCCTCTTCTCTCCGGTACGTCGGGGAGGAGGGTCTTGTCTCGAGCTGCTGCTATGATTGCGAGCCCTGGAGTCTCGTGCCCTGTTGGCAGCTTCTCTCTCCTCGTAGTCCATGTATGTTCGGGCTTTGTCGAGGAGAGCATCAAAAGTTGCAGGTGGCTCAATACCCACAGCTTTTCTAAACTCTGTGCCGGGGAGGAGGCCTCTCTCCAGCAAGTACCTTTTCATATGGTCCGCGCAGGGGACCTGTATTGCTTCCCGGTTGAAGCGGTTGATGAATTCCCTCAAGGTCTCATCATGTCTTTGGATGATGGCCTCGAGGGCTGCCTCGGTCTTCGGGTGGCGCCGAGAAGCGGTGAAGGAACTGATGAACTGGTTCTTCAGGTTCCGCCACGATGTAATTGAGCCCGGGGCGAGCCCTTTATACCAGTCCATGGCCGCCTTCCTGAGAGTTGTGGGGAAGAGACGGCACTTGATGGGCCCCCCGACATTGTGATAGTGGAGCATGGCTTCGAACCCGTCAATATGGTCGACTGGGTCTGCTACTCCATCATATTCCTTCAGATGTGGGGGCTTCTCCATGCCCGGGGGAATAGGTGCGTCCATGATAACCTGCGACAGGGGACCGCGGGGGTCGTCCTCGTCGCTCCTTTCTGGAGAGAGAGGAGGGATCCTGTAGTTATGCCGGGCACGATGGTCGTGCTGAGATTCCCTCGAGCGTGATGCTCGGTGGTTGAAGGTCACACGCCCGTCTCTGTTGTGCCTCCTGTCGTGCCTTGATGGGTCGCGACTGGGTTCTTCGGTAGGGATGACGGGCTGTCTTTCATATTGGGGCCGCCTCTGCCTTGGTGGGGGAGAGGGGCTCCTAGAGTCCTCCCTGTAATGTCTCCGCGGGGGAGTAGGGTGTCGAACTTCTTCGACCCGAGGAGGTGGAGATGGTGGCCTCTGATGCCTCCTCGGGGGTCGTCGATCATTTTCAAGTGCCCTTAGTCTTTCTCCTTGGGCGAATAGGAGATAATTTGTCTGGTTGATGGCCGCAAACAGTGCCTGAGTCGTGGCATCTGCCCCGGCAGGGACTTGGACTTCATAGAACCGGGCAGCTCGGCGATAAGCGAGAGCTTCCGGGTCGTCTTCGAGTGCTGGAGGGGTCGTCGAGGAAGACGCAGTGTTCCCGTCCCTGCGGGTGGAAGGTCCAGGGGCGGTTGTCGCAGGGGTGGCATTGCGGCCGGGATCACCGAGATTGTCGAGGTGTCCATTCTTGTCCGCGGGACCGTTGTTGGTGTCGGTGACGCGGGTGTGCTGTTCTTCACGAGCTGGGTCAGCCATGACAGGTAATTGAATTGAGCTTTGGTCTTTGGAATTGTTCATTAGACGGGGAAGCTGTTTCCCACAGACGGCGCCACTGATCTGACCTGATCAGAAGGTTTGGACCGTCACGGCTTGCTCCGAGCTGAAAGCTTTTTGAACGAGGAGGGGGGGTACCTGCAAGGCACTCCGATGCTAAAGTCAGTGGGAGTACGAGCAGATAATAGAGTTGAGGTTAGAATGATCAATACCTGACCCTCTGGAAACAGAGGGTATTTATAGCCCCCAGCGCTGGGCCAAGGTTCCTTCATTGGGCCGGGCGGATTTGGCCCAATGGAGGAACTGCCAGGTTCTACGTGGGTAGTGGGGACCAGCACGTGGTCCCCTTCCTGGATGTGCTGCGTGAAGTGCGGGCGGATGGAGACGCGGTCTTTCCGGAGTATCGTTGGGGGAACGGTGGACTGAGTCTGCCCTAGCTGGGTAGCTCGAGACCATGTCGAGCCGCGCAGCATGCTGCCGAGCTCGACGCCAGGACCTCGAGCTGGACAGCGAGTGTCGAGCTGGACGCCAGGACATAGAGCCGGACGGCAGGGTGTCGAGCACGACTTCACCGCGTGGGGTTGAACATCGAGATGTCGAGGTGGACATCAGGGTGTCGGGCATGGATGTGACCCCCTTTGCCCAGTGTGGTCCTTAGTGAGTCCCTTTGGACTGGGCCTTAGTAATGCTTTTGGGCCTGTCGGGCCCAGTCCAGAACAACAATTATCTATGTAATGTTATATTTTTTATATATGTTGTAATTATTGATTGATGTTAATTTATGTTATTCTTCCCGTTCTGCGTTTGTTTCTGGTTTGAGAAAACACAATAATTTTCAAAATTAAAGTTTCGAATTTGTTCTAAAGATTTTGGTATGTTTGAAAATACATTTCTATATTTAAGGATATTTATAGTATTTCACTGGGGTGCATGAGCACCACTAAGGGTGCAATAAACAATGCCCTTGTGGTATTAGGCCTTAGTCCAAACTACATTAATATACGGATGCAGCCCAGCCCACATTGTTAGTTTATAGAATTCAAATTTAATAATATTAATTAAATATATTGTACACAAAGACTATATTAATTTGAAATGTCCATTTCTTCCTAATTGGAAAGAATCAGAATATTCGTCTTTTAGATTAAAAAGAAAAAATAAGAGAGGATGAGAATGGACCCTCCTATTTTTTCTCTCTTCAGTTTCTATCATGCTCCAAATCTAAAGGCTGGTAAGCATAGAGGACATGTAGGCATAAAATAAAATGGCTGATAAAGGACGTGTAAGCATAAAATAAAATGGTTGATAAGCATTGAAATAATAAAGATGTAGAAGAGATGTAGACATAAGATAAAATCTGAAGGTTAGAATTATGGCTGAACAAAAAGCAGCATAGGAAAAACAGTAGAGCATCCATATCCCAATTTAATATGATTTGGTTGATCCAATTTCCATTTGTAAAAATTATATTACAAAGTGAACCAGCGCTAATATTTTTATCCAATAACTATTATATTACATATAGTTGGTGTTTATCAAACAAAATTCACCATCGGTATATCTATAAAAATACAAACAAAGGCCCTCTACTTTTCAAAAATTTAAATTTAAAATTTTTTTTATTAAAGTTCTTGAAATATAAACATCTATATTTAGAAATAGTGATATGCATTGGGTACAATTAGACCTTATATATAGTTTATAGACTAGACAGTGATAACGAAGCTTTCCATTTTTCGAAATGCATAGACAATCAAGTCATAGAAACAAGACCTTACTATTCTATAATTTTTATAAAGGGGGAAGTGAGCACATTGACAATGCGAAAATTATTTTCCCTCAGGTACAAAACATCAAGTCCACAGTCACACCATAGAAAAGAATAAGAAACAAATTCTAAAATCTTCATTCCGACAATAGTTTCCCAAATGCATTTACAATGGCTTTCAATAGAGCTAAAAGAGGGTTGTCTTCCTTTTTTGCAGAATTCTTCAATCTGCCATCCCATGATTCTCTGCAATTATAAAACCATTTAAGAAAGAACCAATTCAACTTTACTTCATTAAACTAATTGGCATTTGAGATCAAAACATCAAGATATATGCTTACAGATTGATCCTATCTACCGTTGTGTTGACTCTTCTTTGAGAACTGCCACCAAGTTGATCAAGTCTATATTTATCAGCTTTATGCAGCCCTTCTGGTGGAGATTCTGAATCATCTTGAATGTTTGTCTGTCAAAATGCATTTAAAATGTTACATGTCATATACGAGTTTCAGTTTCTCCTCCCACGACAAGAAATTATTGACTATTGTTTTTCAGATGCAAATGAATTGATGCAGTTGCTAAGGATCAAGATAACACAACAAATTGACACATTCATAGTAATATCCAATTTTCTATGACAGTAAAGATGATAATTTAACCAAGAACATGTCAACTACCGCACCACAATTTTAAAAAACAAAACTAGGGATAAAAGGGCTAACCTTAGCTTCATCTTCAATCTGACTTTTGTTATTGGTTTCAAAAGTTATAGCTTTCTGATGAGATACAGTTATTTGTTCACTGTGGGTAGAAAGATTCGCACTTCCCACATCATGCCTAGGGTCTGAGATTTCCTTCAAGTCCTTGTTTCCAAGGGCATTCTCAAATTTCTCATCCAATATAGTAGAATTATTTGTAGGCTCTATGCCATTTGATTCAGAATTCTTACCTTGTTCCAATTCCAACTTCTTAATATCCCTTTCTAGGGAATTACCCGAGTCCTTCAACGCTGCAGAACCTTCGGTTCCACTGCTAGTCCTAGCAACAGATCTTAATGGAAATGTCTCTACTATCAAGTCTTTTGTCAGAACATTTACTTTGGCAGATGGCATTGTAGTAGCTGCCAACTCTTGTTCGACATTCAGTTTGGGTTCCGTGGGCTTATTCTCGGGTATAGTAGCTTCTACCTTGCTACCATCTACGTCATGCCCGTGGTCGACGATCTTGAGCTCACCTCCGGTAGAATGGTCATTAGAAACAACCACAGCTTCAACAGATTCCTTGTTTGTCACATCTACCTTGCTAGAATCTTCGTCATGCTCTTTGTCAGCAATTTCGAGCTCAGGTCCAGTAAAATACCTATCAGAAACAATGGTAGTTTCAACAGATTCATTGCTTGTCACATCTACCTTTCTAGAATCGACACCGTGCTCCTTGTCAACAATGTGGTGCTCAGCACCAGTAAAACACCTATCAGAAACAACAGCAGCTTCAACAAATTCATTGCTTGTCACATCTACCTGGCTACCATTTATGACATGGCCATTGACAACCACTGGATTCTGACCTACAGTATAATACCCATCAGAAACAACAGTGGCTTCAATGGTTTCCTTGTTAATCACATCTACATGGTCAACATTTATGACATGTCCATTGTCAGAAAGAGAAAACAGTTTGCCGGGAACTTTGTTATGTTCAGGATGATCTTCATTTGAAGTTGCACGGAGAAAAGGTTGAGGGCCACTTGCAATTGAACCCAACGGATTTTGTTCCAAAAATTGATCAGTGCTGAATTCCTCCAAGTTGAATTTAGCAGGACCCAAGACCCTATTTTCTTGAATTATTTCCCGGACAATCTCTCTTACAGTGTAAAACGATCCACCAACTTCTTTATGCGTAACAGTAATGGGTGGAAAGTTTCCACCGTTTGACTCTTGGTACCTGAAGACAAGTAACTTTAATACAAGTGAAGTAAATACATTCAACAGATCAGTGTCCTTAAATCCTAATAAAGGAGAAACAAGTGCATAGTGAAGACCATATTAGGATTGATGGACCAGAACAGAGCGGAGGGGAATGTAACCTAATGGAATGGATCGGTTATTTTTAAAGAATAGTAGCAGGTTTCGAGCATGTAAAACTCTAAAACACGTTGTCCCCAGTTAAACAAAATAAAAGTAAGAATAGTGTTGGAACAAAGGATTTAAAAAAGATGAATATTGTGAAAAACAAGAAGAAGAGAGAGAGAGAGAGAGAGAGTTGAGTTAGTTAAGTGTAACTAACTTTGAACTGAATTCAGTTATTATTGTTTTTTCGATTACAAATAATGGCCCATATATAGGCAAGATGCCCGGACCCAAAACATGCTAAAAGCCCAAATAACTACATAACAAGAATTAACTAACTAACACACCCCCTAATTTATGTTATCGAGACTTCTCATCCCAATGCCTTTCTATAACTCTTCGAATCTCACTTTCTTCAGAGATTTGGTGAATATGTCAGCTAGTTGCACTTCTGTCTTGCAATGTTTTATTTCAAGCTTCCCTTTGTTGACTTGCTCTCTCAGAAAATGATACCTTCGTTCAATGTGCTTACTTCGACCATGACACATTGGGTGATTTGCAAGGTTTATAGCTGACTTGTTATCAACAAACAGCTTCATCTTCGATTCCATTATTCTGAATTCTTCAAGTAGCATTTCGATCCATGCTGCTTGGCATGCAGCATATGATGCAGCCACATATTTTGCTTCACATGATGACAAAGCCACAATGCTTTGCTTCCTCGAACTCCAGGAGATTGGAGCTCCTTCGATCATGAAAATATATCCTGCAGTACTCTTCTTTTCATCTTGATCTCCACTGAAATCTGAGTCAATGTATCCTTGCACTTCGACATCTGTACAGTTCTTCGACTTCTTTGGTAACAGCACACCATGATCAATGGTTTCCTTGATGTATCTCAACACCCTCTTTACTGCAATGAGATGACATTCCTGAGGCTTCTCCATAAATCTGCTCAACAATCCTACACTTTGGCAGATATCTGGTCTAGTATTGCAAAGATACCTCAAGGATCCAATGATTTGTTTGTAAAGAGTCGAACTTACAAACTCATCATTCGATTCCTTTTTCAGCTTTGCTCCAGTCTCTAATGGAGTAACAACTGCCTTACAATTGCTCATATTGAACCTCTTCAGTATATCTTGAGCATACTTCGTTTGATGCAAGAAAACTCCTTCTTCGGCGTCTTTGAATTCCATTCCCAGGAAATAGGAGAGATTCCCTAAATCAGACATTTCGAATTCCTGCGTTAACATTGACTTTACCTTCATTATCTCAGCTTCGTCTGCTCCTGTAATGAGTAAGTCATCAACATAGAGGCATAAAATGATTCGATTGACACTTTCGACATCATTTACATACACTCAATGTTCAGAGACACACTTTGTGAAACCTGCTTCGATTAAGAAGCTATCTATCCTTTTATTCTAAGCTCTAGGAGCTTGCTTCAAGCCATAGAGAGCCTTTCTTAATCTGTAAACTTTCGACTCCTGTCCTTTGACGTCGAAGCCTGGTGATTGAGTAACATAGACTTCTTCTTCCAATGGACCATTAAAAATGCTGACTTCACATCAAGTTGATGCATTTTCCATCCTCTACATGCAGCTATCGAAACAACAATCCTGATTGTTTCGATCCTCGCAACAGGGGCATATACTTCGTCGAAGTCAATACCAGGTTTTTGTAGAAAACCTCTGGCCACCAGTCTTGCCTTATACTTTGCAATCTCACCATTTGACCTTCGTTTCACCTTGTAGATCCATTTCACATCGATTGGTTTCTTGTTGGTTCTTTCGACAAGCTCCCAAGTCTTGTTCTTCTCAATGGCTCTAAGTTCTTCTTTCATGCCTTCACACCAATTCGAATTGCTCAAGGCTTCCCCCAAATCAATTGGTTCTACTTCAACCATCGTCATGGCTTCTTCGATTAAGTCACCATCTGCATCGATTGCTTGATCTGGAAACCTCTCATATCCAATCAGCCTAGTCGACTCAGTTCTTGTTCTTGTGGATCTTCTTTCATTTTGCACAGGTGATTCTTCATTTCGACTTGTCGAAGCTTCGTTCTCTTCATCTTCTTCAAACACAGTTGTGACTGTGTCTGATTCATGTCGAACTGAACTTCGACTCCAATCTCATCCTTTGCTTTCGTCTACAAGAACATCTCTACTGATCACTAGTTTATCTTCAATTGGTGAATACAACTTGTATGCACCAGTCGAATGATAACCTATGAGCACCATGACTTCACTTCGATCATTCAGCTTCTTTCTCAATTGTTCAGGTACATGTCTGAAACACATTGATCCAAAAATTCTAAGATGACTTACATTTGGCTTCGACCCTGTCCAAGTCTCATGCAGTGTCTTTTCGACCATCTTCTTCGTTGGGCATCTATTTAGAATGTATACTGCTGTCGAAGCTGCTTCAGCCCAAAATCTCTTAGGCATATTCTTACCTTTCAGCATACATCTTGTCATGTTCAGTACACTTCTATTCTTTCTCTCAGCTATGCCATTATGTTGAGGCGTATAGGGTGCAATAACCTCGTGCTCTATACCTTCCTCATTGCAAAATCTAGCAAATTCAGCAGAAGTATATTCACCACCACCATCAGTTCTTAACTTCTTCAATTTGCAGCCACTTTGTTTCTCAACATGCAACTTGAACTTCTTGAACTGTGTGAATACCTCACTCTTCCTCTCAATAAGGTAAATCCACATATGTCTGGTGAATTCATCAATGAAAGTAAGGAAATACCTGTTACCTCCATTAGACTTTACTTCAAATGGTCCACACACATCTGAATGAACCAGCTCCAGTTTTTGCCTTTATCTTATAGGCAAATCACGTTTGAACGCCTTCCTTGCCTGCTTAGCTTTGCAGCATTCCTCACATATCTGCTTTGGTTCCTTCACATACGGCAACCCAAGCACCATTCTTTTCTTATTGAGTATACATAAACTCTTGAAGTTTAAATGTCCATACTTGTGATGTCATAGCCAGTTCTTGTCTCTTTTGTAGTTGAAGCAAGACATTTGTGATCTGATGTGTTGAGTTCAACCCTGAACATTTTGTTCTCCGCCAATGGTGCTTTCATTATTAGCCTCCCATCGGTCCTATATACCTTCATCTGATTATTTTCCAACTTCACATTGAAGCCTTTTGCAAGTAATTGACCTGCACTTATCAAGTTACTTGTCATCGAATGTACATATAGAACTTCAGTGATAGTAGCCTTTTGATCATCCTTCTTGATAATCAAAATATCTCTTTTACCACCTGACTTGATATGCCTGCCATCTGCAAACTTTATCACCTTTTTGACTGATTCATCTAACTTGGTAAACCAGTTTTTATTGTCAGTCATGTGGTTGCTAGATCCTGAATCCAGATACCACATGTTGTTTTTCTCAGTATTCGACTGAGTGTTCACCAGCAACAACACATCATCAGAGTCACTACTTCTAACTCGTGCATATTGAGCTTCATCACTATCTTTCGACTTCGCAGCTTTCTTTCTTCGACAGTCTCTAGCATAGTGGCCAAAACCTTGACAATTGTAACATTGCACATCTTTCGTGTCAACTTTCTTCCCAGAATACTTGTTGCCCACATCTTTCGAATCAGTATTCTTGCTTGACTTCTCATCACCAGAAATATTCTTTCGCTGCTTCGACTTCTCTTTTTCAGCTTTCTTGCTGAATCTTGATTGCAATGCTTGTTCAGCTGTCTTCTCTCTTTCTGAGTTTCTTTGCTGCAGCCTCATTTCATGAGCCTCCAAAGAAGCTTGAAGTTCTTCCAACTTCATCTCAGATAGATTCTTGACCTCTTCGATTGTTACAACAAAGTAATCAAAATCTGCAATTAGAGATCTCAATACCTTTTCTATCTTTTGCAGATCCGTTAGCACTTCACCACACGCCTTCATCTGGTTTGTTAGCGTCACTACTCTTGAGAAATATGCAGAAACAAATTCATCCTCTTTCATCTGCAACATCTTATACTGCTTTCTCATGGTTTGCAACTTCACTTTCTTCAATTTCTAATCTCCACCATACAAGGACTTCAGCTTTTCCCAAGCTCCTTTTGTTGTTTCTTCTTCGATTATCTTCTCAAATACATCACAATCCACACACTGGTGAATCAAGAATAGCGTCTTGCCATCTTTCTTCCTCTGATCTCTGTGTTGTCTGGACTTCCGTAGCATTCACTTCCAGTTGTGATATTCCATCATTCAAGATTTCTACAACATCTTGAAATCTGAAAATAACTTTCATTTGTGTCACCCATCGTTGATAGTTTTCACCATTGAAAACTGGTAGATTTGCTGAAAATTGTGTTGATGTTGTTGATCCGTTTGCCATTAGATTCACTCTGAATCGCAAACAAACTCTTGATACCAAATTTGTTGGAACAAAAGATTCAAGAAAGATGAATATTGTGAAAAACAAGAAGAAGAGAGAGAGAGTTGAGTTAGTTAAGTATAACTAATTCTGAACTGAATTCAGTTATTATTGTTTTTTGGATTACAAATAATGGCCCTATATATAGGCAAGATGCCCAGGCCCAAAATATGCTAAAAGCCTAAATAACCACATAACAAGAATTAACCAACTAATAAATAGTATGAAATGAATTACTTATTAATGAAAGTTTGAATCATTGCTTTTCGTTTATCCTTAGAGAGGCGAATCCGAGTCTTTCTCCCATCAGAATCATTTTTCTTTGCAAGAGCAAATGTTGGGCTCCAGCCGCCCTTAATTGCAGAATGCATCATTTTGAAACTAGAAACCTGCATACGTTACATAACATACAAACTTGACAACAATTAATAATTATCATTATTAGTAGCAAAATTAAATCGCATATCTACGTAAGATTTCAACATCGCAAAAAACAACCCGGCACAGTAAAAATCTCGAACTTGTCGAGAAATTGACGGAGCTTACAAGTGGAGATAAGGGTTAAAATGTGAAAAAAGAAATGAAAAAGAGAGTTACCTGAAACAAGGAGTGTGAAATGTTGAAGAAGGGGTTAAAGCTTAAACCCCAAATCCAAACCCTGGCGGTACACGTATAGTAGCGAATAACAACCAGAGGTGAAATGTTTCGTAAACGATTGCGATAGGACCTAGACGGGGCGCGGGAGACTATTTATATTTTTTATGTTTATTAATTAAAATTCATTTCACGTTTCTTTATTAAATAAAACACAATAACAATTAAGAATTTAATTCACATACACAATAAAATATTACTCATAATCATTACTTTTTTAACGGTTTTATTTTTATTTTAATAAAGAATTAAAATAATTTTCATGACATAAACATACATATATTAATTAAAATCACATCAAATAGGATATAGATTTTGTTCATATATCTCAATATTTATCGTTTCTCTATGAATCAAGACATATGAGAAATCAGTCTAATGACTTGTGACTTTGCACCATACGAGAAATCGATGTAATGAGTTACTTATTATCGATCAATCTCATATCCATAAGAAAAATATTCAAGAGAAAATACATTGGTGTTAAGGGTGGCATAAGGGTAGGGGAATTATGAATATGTCATTAATCATAAAGCTCTAGAGCTTATACAACAAGCGTATATATGTTCTAGAAAAATTCACATTCAAGCATAAAAGAGAATGCTATAACGTATTAACGTTGAATTTCATAACGACTTATATCACGCCATCAGACAATGTAAATGGTCTGAATGGAAACTACATATATAGAAAATGTCAGTAAAGACCCTAATATAATCCCTATAAAGAGGGGTGGCAGATGACAAATCAGGTACACACTCATGAAAACCTAAAAGCATTATTTTATTTATCTAATCAGAATATGATCCCTCTATTTTCTTTTCTTTCCCAACATCTAACCAAACTAGGAAAGAATTGATCGACCTGAAAGCTCATTTGACACATTTATCTAATTTAAACTTTCAACATAGTGTTGAAATATTTTGGTCTGGACAAAAGGGATGTCAATGGGGCGGGGCGGGGCCGGGGGGACATTTCCCCATCTTTTTCCCCGCCATCAAATTCATTCCCCGTCCCCGTCCCCGATCTCCGTCACGGGGGAATTTCTATCTCCATCCCCGTTCCCCGCGGATCCCCGTTCCCCGCGGGGATCCCCATAGATCCTACATTTATTCATTAATATTTTATTTTTTTAAGATATATTTTTTATGGGTGATAGCATGATATATTATTGTTTATATGTTATTATTTCATTAATAATTAGAAATATAAGATATTTGGTTTTTTTTTATGGGTGATACCGTGATAGCATGATATATTGATTCATTTAAAAAGTAATATTTTTTTGTTTAATATAGAAAATTAAATTATAGTGTGATATATTAATAAAAAATAGGAAAAGTATATTTTAATATTTTTTAAGGAAAAACTGACGACATTATTTTAATTACAAATGCATAGTATAGATAAAAAATGAACACAAAAATATTTAAAAGGAGATAAAAATGAGTAATTTTTTGATTATTTTATATTTTTTTAATATGCAAATGATTTGATAACTCTAAAATTTCTAAACAATTTAATTTAAATTTAATCAAAATAATCAACTTTTCCTATAAGCAATTACATGAACAGGTTTATGAGAATCAAGGAGAAACAATCTACTTTTTTCTATAAACAATAATATAAACAGATTTATGAGAATCAAAGAGAAATAATCTATTTTTTCCTATAAATAATTACATGAACAAATTTATGAAAATCAAACCTTATTGATGAAATTGTAAGAGCTGTGAATAATGGAAGCACACCAAATAGAGAAGATGGAATTGGAAGAGGATGATGAATGGAGATTTGACTGGAGAAGAAAAAAAGGAGTCTAACGTGTGAGACTCTAAATGTCTGGCAGAAGAAAATGAAACGCTTCAACTTTTTTAGGGTCTAATATTTACATTTCTCTCTCTTAATAAATACATGAATATTTATTTATTTATTTTTATAAATAAATATAAAGGAAATGACTAAAAAACCTAATCTAAAATATATATATTAAATTAACTATATTAAAATAATAGGCGGGGCGGGGTCCCCGCGGGGCGGGGGATGTATTCCCCGTCCTTGTCCCCGAAATGCTCTCGGGGGAATTTTTCTCCCCATCCCCGCCCCCTCGGGGGAAAATTCCCCATCTTTGGGGCCCCGAACGGGGCGTTCCCCGCGGGGATCCCCATTAACAGGTCCAAACTGACATCCCTAAGACAAACCAGTGGCGCCATCTGTGAGAGTCACAATACGACATTTTCTTTTTCATTCAAAACAATATGACATCTTCCAGTTGTGAGAAACACTCAATCAAGCAAAGAACGAGGTTTCCTGGGAACTCTTTTATTCATTAGACAAGTGACTAGTGAGAATACTAACCCATTGTATGGGAAACGAGTGGGTTATCCTTCTTTGGCAAGAAATATCCATTGATCGCCAAAGCAAGTGACTATTTTCCAGGTCACATATTGAATAATTTTCATATACCTGGCGATAGGTATTGCATCATCTTACAAGATAGTGCACCTCTTAAAGATACTTATATCAGCAAGAGGCCCCTGCTCTCTTTCTATAACGAGGATTTACTTGACATGACCCCTATGATCGGGTACCCATGCTTATCAAGGTAATGACAGTTGGTCGAGATGTGGAACACATACTAGTAGACCAGGAAAGCTCATGTGACATCATGTACGTCAAAGCATACAAGAAGTTAGACCTTCTTTCCATCCTCCAACCATATTACCGAGAAAAAAACCTATAGGGTTTTGATAGAATGATCGTGAGACCTATGGGATTTGTAGACTCTCGATGGCCTTTTGGGACCGGGTATGAGATGAGAATAGTTAGGATAAATATTTTGATCAAAAACCATGTCTACATTTACAACGACATCCTCGAGAAATCTTCTCATGTCACTTTATGAGTTATTTCCTCAGTTGTGCATTTGAATATCAAATTCAACTCTCTAGAATATCAAATTATAGTGATAGAGGCTTATTTACCCTCAATTTTGACCTACTTCTTAGCCATCCAAGCATGGCAGATATGCGTTGATAAGACACGGGATGAGAACAAAAAGCACGAGGAATTACGGAACTAAGTTCCCAACTAGAGGAAACACTCCAAAGGAAGATGATGAAGTTATACTACCAAAAACCTAGGAAAAGTTGGGAGACCCAAACCTATGGGTGATTTTTTAACCATTTGTGTAAGAGGAGATCAATCAAAGATTATTTAAATAAGAGCCAACCTAGTAAAGCCTATACGAGAGGCTTTAACCAGAATGTTAGAAAATAAACCATGATTTAATCGCATTGTCTACAAAAGAAATGCATGGTCTTAGCCCAAAACTATTATGCCACGCCTTATCCCTCTAAGAAGATGTACCTTGCGTTTCCTAGCATGGGAGAAATTAATCACTAAAAAAATTTGAAGTCACAAAAAAGATTTGTTGACGAACTCCTTAAAACATTATTCACATAAGAGACGAGGTACACAACTTGTCTTTCCTATAGTATTAGTCAAAAAGGCAATAATAAGTGGTGTGTGTGCTTTGATTGCTCAAATACAACAAGGTATGCCCAAAATATTCTTACTTGCTGCCCAACATAAACCAAATCATTGACAACTCATTAGGCTTTAATTTAATATCTTTTATGAACCCCTACTCGGAATATAATCATATATATCAATAATCCTATAAATTGGAACAAAAATGCCTTTATGACTGGCAAATGAAACTTCTGTTACAAGGTTATTGCCTCCAGTCTTAAAAATGTTGGGGCATCTTACCAACAAATGATGAACAAAGTACTCATCAATCAAATATGAGATATTTTGAAAGTTTACGTGAACAACATAATTGTCAAATATAAGGAGGATCAGGAGTACACATCCCATCTAGAGTCCATACTCAGCGAAGTAAGGAAATATGGAATGTGTTTGAATCCGGAAGAATGCACCTTTGGGGTGCGTTCAGGGAAATTCCTAAGATATTACCTTACCGAAAGATTGATAGACGTGACCTTGTTCAATGTCGAACAATGGTCAACATGGAATCCCCAAAGACCAAAAAAAGGGATCCAGAAGTTGAACGGTATGTTGGTGGTCGTGTCCCGATTCATCTCTAAATCAACATATCATGCACTCCAATTTTACAAGCTATTGAGAAAAGAAGAAATGTCCAAATGGACACCTGAATGTGACACGACATTCACAAAACTCAAATAAGTGTTATCACAACCACCCATCTTAGTTTTGCCAAAGGAATGTGGGACCCTTTTGTATATATTTGTGTGACCCAAAAGGTTGTGCAAGTGGTTCAGATGATAGAAAGTCACTCATCCCAAGACCTAGTCTATTTAATTTGGAAGGTTTATAGGGACCAGAAATTTTATGCTAGCAGGAGTAGAACATCGCCCTGACACTCGTGGTCAGGAAACTAAAATATTACTTCCTTGTGCACGTCATAATAGTAAGAACCAACTACCTTATCCTGCAGATACTCCACAAAATATGAAAAATTCATTTATTTCTACCACTTGATTCGATTTGTTGGACATTATTGACTCAAATCACTTATGACTTTTTACATTGATTTTGTATTATTTCTCAAACACATATAAAAATATTTATTTTCATTTATTTCAAAACATAAATCAAAATCAATTTAGTAATTTCTAGAAGAAAAAAATCATCAACTCTCTCAAAAACAAAAAACTTCAACTTGTGAAGATTTGAAGTAGGGAAGGAATTTTGTAAAAACATGTTGAAGATCCGAAGGCCTTAACTCTATACAATTTTTACAATCTGCCTTTAGGATCAATCCAAAGATCTTGTCAACAGAAGTTGAGAGACACTAGCAAAGATTGTGATAAGCTTCCCCTTTTCATAACCACTTGACAAAATTTTCTTCCTCTTTTTAATAATAGGAGATTCATTCAGAGAAGAATGGGTCACCGTATTCGCAACTAAAAATGAGGGACTCACCACATCATCAAAATTCAAGCCCACTCAAATAGACTTTATCTCAGAAACCTTCACCTTCATTTGGGCGCAAGACTTTTTTCCAAGCCTTGACCTCACTCAGCAGATACCGTGATATCTACCAAAAAGAGAATAAAAAATCTCTACAAATCTAAGCAAGAAAGAGTTAAAACACAAGAGGCAAGTAAAACAACAAACACACCCATCAAGTTTTTGGCCTCTTTCGAATCTTCAGCCAAAACTAAAGACATGGTAACCACGCAGCATTCCCTCGTTACAAGAGTCTTAGATTTACGATAGTAGAAGGGAACCTAGTTGAATCCATCAACATAACCCTTATGGATGGACATGCTCTCTTTTCTCTCGAAAAAGATATGTTATGTTAAAAGTAAGATCTGACTTCCCTGACCATAGATGTCCTTAATCCAATAATTGAGAAATTTAAGATCACATACAACATTTGGAGACCTTTCTCAATAATCACATAAATTGAAACGAAAATCAGTTATAACCGATTTTACCCCCCACTGAAATTAGGTGTATAATGATTGTGAGGAATTCTGAACCGGTGATACTAGTCTTTGATACGACGATGCGGGAGTGGACCCGTAAGATTAACACTCTAATACTCAAGTCAGTTAGATGAGTATAATAAAAGTGGAGATCAGAAAATGTATCTTGAAATTTACGATGAAATCTCGTGTTAGATTTAGGTTAACAAAAATCTATGTTATATTATGTATTGTATTAATAATTTGTGTTAAAGTTATGTTATTCTTCATCTTCTTTCTCAAATTGCTTTAGTTTTTGTGATAACATAGTAAAATTTAGATTTTGAAATCCGAACAAACTCTTAAAATTTAATTTTTCATAGTTCTGAAATTGAGGTTGATGTGGTGTGTTGAGATGCATCCAAACTACAATATATTTACTCTTTCCGTCCTATATTATAAACAAATTTCATTTTTTTAGATTCTTTAAATAGTTAATATATTTAATCTATATATATACTAAATATATTAATTATTCAATAAATCCAAAAATATGAAATTTAATTATAATACGATACCGAACAATAAGTTGTTAATTAAAATTTCAAAATCCTGACCATTTTACCTTGTGTATTTTGGTGCGTCCAAATTTTGAAATCCAAATTCTAAATGTATTTTTTGACATTTTGCTATGCTGTGTGAGTAACTCGTGGAATGTAATTAATAATTTCTTTCAAAAATATGTTCTAGACAAAATTTAAGTTAATTTCTTTTTATTAGTTTTCTCTACTAACTGTTTTTAAATGATATTATCAAGTATTTTTTATTAATTTTGAAAATTAGCTAGATAGTTTTTGATATATTTTCTTTAAGAAAATCAAGATTCTTCCTTCCCTTTCTAGTGAAAATGAAGCTCGAGAGTACACTAATTAGGTATTATTGTTACTTATTATTATTATTATAATATAATAACAACAATGAAAATGATGAAACTACTCGAGTGAAAACATCTATTATTCTACTCAAAATTGCCACTAGTGTTTACTGAATATACAAAAATGAAAGAATACAAATTTGAGCCAAGTCAAATGTAATTGATGAATGATTTCTATAGACTATTGAGTACACTTGGTAGCGGAAGTACTTGCACCTTCCACGCTGTTTAATTGACCATGAAAAAAGGTCATGAAACTAGTGAACAGCAGATGTCAAACTCATTTTCTTTGCTCTCTGTGTCAAGCTTTTCTGGGACAGGAGGTTGAGTATATGTATTCAGTTAATGAAAGAAGAAACAGAATACTGTCTCTATGATCTGTGCCAATGTGGCAATGTTGTTAGACTCAAAAGCTTTTTTCCAATTCGCCAGACAATCTTCCCGAATGAAGCAAAATTGCATCCATAAGTGCTTGTGTTTGTAAATTTGAAGTATAAGCTTTGTTATAGTCCAAGTGATTTCTGCTTGTAACCATACTTCATCCTTTCGTATAATTTCTCTTTTGTTTTTCTTTTTTTATCCATTTTTGTTCTGTACCTTTCTTCCCTCTCCCTTTCATAAATCCCTTGCCAGTGCACCTCTCCTGTCATTGGCCACAACCAATTTTCCCTTGGATTGTCACCATCATCTGCAGCTTCAGCTAGATCTTCATCCATACTTTTTAACAACGAAGAGTTGAAATATTTTGCCCACATATAACCCTTCCGATGTTCAATTACGTGCTGCTCTTCCATAGAACCAGTATTAGGATTTATATATACCATCTTTCGTGCACTATGATAAGCCCATACATTGATAAGAAGTTCCAACACTCGACAGTAACAGTGTTTTTCCTGTGTAGGATGAACAGAAGTAAGAAAAACAAACAAATTATGAAACCTTAAAAGCAGCAAGCAAGTTACCTACCTCAATCTCTGAAGAGCCTAACATGCATATGCTGAATTTACCGGAGTCTGTGTGAAAAGCATCAATGGAATCAACGAACATCCTGCATTCAATTGATAACATTTCATGTTTCTACTTTCATTCGCATCAAGGAAGTGCTTTTCATTATTAACATACTGTCATGAAAGCTAACATTGATCAATTATTTACCGAGAAAACATTATGAACTCCAGGAAAGAAGGGGTTGGCATCACCCAACTGTGCAGAGCTGACCAGTAACCACCATCTTCAGGCATGGGGGGTAGTGCTTCAGCATGGGAGGGCAATGCATACATCTGGCGGAAGCTTTCTTGAAAAACATTCCTGATGAAATATGAAGCATAATATCAGACGCGTTTGAAACATGTCAGATTACTCAAAGACCACGTTAGATTACTCAAAGACCAACATCCAGAAACTCCATTTTAGATTTCCAAACATTAAAAAATATGGAGAAGGTCCCCTATTGTCAAAATAACCTGTCTCTACTAATTAATCTAACTGTTTTGTAACATTTTAATGTGTAGGTAGTACACAAGATGCAACTTTAGAATAGAATATATCATGGAAGGGTGGAATGCTTGAAGTTCTCAAGACAACTGAAATATAGCAATGAACAAAAGGAGAGTATACTGTTATTTTCCATACTATATACCTGCAGTTCCCTCCATTTAAGATATCGCACATTGACCAAAATGTAAGTGCATTGTTGCTTCCTATGACACTCCCATCCAGGTCCACGCGTCCCCAAAAATAGATAACATCTCCTTTAGCACTATCATGCATTGTCTCTTCCAAAACCTTTTCAGCTTCCACTGACAATGCTGCCTGTTTTTCCAAAATGATTAAAATCAAGCAACAAATGGGTGCAATAAGAGTAAAATTGAAACAAAGAAACTAAGACCCGGTTTTCCCAAAACAAAACTTAACCCGTGCATCAATTGATACATAATAACTTGAACAATACAACATGGAGAATGCTAACAAGTGACCTTAGTGCATTGATGAA